AGGTGTTTAAGTTTCCCCAAGATAGCAGACACATGCTGCGTTTTTACAAATGATGCAACATGAAGTGTAAGCCTCTACAGGAAGGGATGGGCAATCTTATCATCTTATAGGCTGGATGGTCTGATTTGCCGAATGATCTGCTTCGCAGAGGATTTCCAGACTTTCTTATTGACTATGAATTTGGTGAAATGTGATTGGTAATTGGTTTTGAAACAATTAGGACTATTCTCCTGGAGGTGTACTTCATGGCCTTTACCCCTCAGATGACTGGGTGTGTAAGAAATAGCAATATGATATGTAAGAAAAAAAAACTCTTTAAATGATTGAAAGGTTCATTCTAAGGGGATTGCAATGTCGACGTAGAGAAATAAAATAAAATGTATGACATTTAAACTTTGCTGAGAGACATATTGATAGAGTAAATGAACCTCCTATTTTCTGTTGGAGAAGCAGCATTCCACCCACAAAAGACCTACCAGCCTACGACTGCAGATGCAATTAGCTCATGTAAATGAATCCATGAACTTACTATAAGTTGAATCTCTGTTATGCTGGAAGTCAGTGGTGGATGCACGAACAGCAAACAGTTTCAAACACACTGTAACATTTTAATTCCAATGCGTTGTGATCATTCTCAAAGGTCTCTGTGTGGTTGTGCCAAGTGGTCTCCATTGTTTTTAATGAAGTGTGATACAAAACAAGTGCGTTGTTTTTAGAGGGGGGGGGGAGTGCAAATTACAGAAATGCTCTTATCATTGTGACAAGTGTCAGCTCCGTTGTGGCCTGAAAAAAAAATCAGCCACTCTAAGCTGTAAAATTTCATGCCAGCTTTATTTCGGTGTTAACTTGTAATAAATAACTAAGTAATTATCTGTCTGCAGTTTTAGTGTCACAGAAACCAGATTTAGATTACATCAAGTTCAACTGGAACACGATGACTGCCTCTGAGTTTGAGGAGCACTGGAAAGCCGAAAAGGCCACCAAGAAGGTGGACTTCATTCACATGATACAGGTCGGTGTCGATGAACATACCCTGTGTTTTTTACACAGCTGGGTTACATTCATTTCTGGCAAATGGCAGCAATAAGTCCAATTAGAACAACTGCCTGGCACAGCGTTATAATTAGGCATTCTGTGAATGCAGTTAGTAGCTCATTATCTGTGGTGAAATCGACAGATGCTATACTACGTGAAGGATCCCGAAGCAACTGTCAGATTCTTCCAGAGTCTTCTTGGTAAAAATGGGAAGCTTCTCATAATTCTAGTGTCTGGTAAGTGGATATTTTCTTTCTCTCATGTGGACGATTTAATTATGGTGCAAATAGCTAACGAACAATCTGCTTATACATGCAATACGTTTGGA